GTATGTTTCAGCGAAATTTCAGACGATTTCAGTGTGTCGAAAATCACATTTCCCCACCAGAGGAAAACACATCGCACATCAGAAATTGATATTTCATATTTTCAAAAACATCTCTTCTGAATCTCTATCACACATATTGTGCAATAATGATGACATTTCCCACCGTCCATCTGGTATTACACAGCCTTTCTACCCCACGAGGACGGTGCACTGTGCGCTCTTTGTTCCATCCGCCAGGCCTTTCTATCCCTTTTGAACTTGAAAAATTTCGAAAAATTCCGAAAATTCAAGTTCAAATATTCAAATTGCCGGTGTTTGTTGCATTTCTCTAGCTACACAGAACTCATGCAAATTCGGATGATTTCGATACAAAAAGGCCGAAAATGAGGGTGACAGGTGACGAGAAAATGGCAGACAAAGTTGGCGATTCCGGAGACGGTGTAAAACGCAAAATTTCGAATTTCGTGTTTTGGAACCAGACCAGAGTCTTTATTCTAGCACTTTCGTGAGTTGTTGGGTCATTTGCAGCGTATTTTGAGCCAATTTTCAGTCTATTCAAGACTATGATTAGTGTTTCTTAGCATATTTAAAGCTTATTTTCAGCCTAACATGCCTGACTTTGACTCAAATCAACTCGCAAATCTTCACATTCACTGTGATCTGTATGGACGATTTGATAGTGGAGAATCAGATGTCAAATGTCACAGGTAGGTAAAATAGGCGCCGAGGAAGCTGAATTTGGAATTGAAATCCATTTTTGCCGCTTTTTCAGCCCATTTCTAGACATTTTAGCATATTTTTAGTCATTTAGGCTATTTTCAGCATACTTGTAACGGGCCGGGCCGGCCGGGCTTTTTCCGGAATTTCGGAGGCCCGGCCCGGCGGGCCCGTCATTCCACTAGTTTCGAAATTTTCAAAAAACAAATAAGGGGGACCCTTATGTGATTTTTTTCGACCAAAAAATTTTTTTTCGAGTTTTTCGATCTTTTTTGATCAGACAGACAAAAAATCCGAAATACGAAAAAAAATGGAAAAAAAATTATATTGAGAGCTTAAAATTTGGCTCAAAAATACACGATTTTTGACACTGGGCCTTGAAAATTTCCTCAGGCCCAGCCCGGCCCGGGCTTCGGCGGGCCGGCCCGGAATTTTACAAGTATGATTTTCAGTCATTTTTAGTATATTTTAAGCCCTATTTCAGCACACTTTTAATCATTATCAGCCGATTATTAGCCTATTTTAGTCATTTTGAGCCGATTTTAGCATATCTTTATAATAATAATAATATATTTATTTGCAATGCATGGGGGAAATCAATAGATAGTCTTTTTAAGCATATTTTTAGTCTTTTTAAGCATATTTTTAGTTTTTTTAAGCATATTTTTAGTCTTTTTAAGCATATTTTAGCCATATTTAGCCTCCTTTTCAGCATTTTTCGACTTTCAGAGCCCCACTGGATCGAAGGAACTACAGAAAAATCGATTTTATTTTCTGCAACAGCTATCGGTGCCCTAGTTGGCCTCATTCCATCAGTACCCCTTCTCAATAGGCTTGGCGTCAGGTTAGATTCAATATTCGCAGTTTTGAAGCATGAAACACTCACTAAACTCGATTGATCCCCTCCAAGCGGGTGGTCCTTATTTAGAGACGTTGTGGTGACGTCTTCTGAAAGAAAAAACGAACTTTAGAGAGAAAAACGCTGAAAGAGAGAAAAATGAAGGGAAAAGGAAGAGAAAAAATGACTGATAATTTCGAAAAAAAAGAAAAATTCAAAAAAAAAAGTTCTGAAAATTTGAGATTTTCTACTCGAATTTTCGCATTTTTTCTTCAAAATTCACAAATTTCGATAGGAAAACTCAGAATATTCAGTGAAATTAAAACTAAAAACTCGAAAAAAAAGGAAATCGAGAAAATAATTTTACTGAAAATTCAATTATTTTTTTCCAATTTTCCGGAATTTGACATTTTTCCAATGGAAACCAGAATTTTCATAACTTTTCACTTTGCAACTGGGCTTTCGTGACTCATAGGGAACGGCCCGAGCGGGCGGGCCTGCCATCGAGATTTCAACTTTTCACAAACCACAAAAATTGGAGAAGAAATCGCAAAAAATCGAAAAAAAAACTATTTTTTGGCTTTTTTCAGAAAAATAGGATTCTTCTTATGTTTTCGTTGAGAAACAAGATTTTTAGCATAGAAAATCGAATTTCTCATCATTTTTCACCGCTTAAACTGCAAAACCTTGTTGAAAACCGCAAAAAATTGAAGTTTTCATTTCTTTCGCAATTTTCCAGAAAAAAATTGAAAATAGACATATTTACAGCGAAAAACAAGATTTCTAACATAAAAAATCGGATTTTTCATGATTTTTCACTTTAAAAACTACAAAAAATCAGCAAGAAAGCTCAAAATTAAGTCTGGAAAGTCCAAAAACGGGCGTTCAAAAATAATGAGCGGTGCGTTGGGTTTCGCAGCGAAAACGCTTTTGCTAGCGCTACAGTAACCCGAAAACTTTTTACTGTAGAAATGAAATCAACCTGAAAATGGCTGAAACTCAACCGTTTTCAGTTTTGAAAAATCCTGGGATATGTAAAAAATTACGAGAAATCTGAATATGAAAAAATTAATCGGAAAAATTCAGCGGAAAGCCCAGAAAATCACGATTTTTCAGGTTAACCTTATCGGTGTGCGGCCTTTGCTCAACACTTGGCACATTTTTCACACCTATTGCAGTTTCTTGGAGTTTTTATCTAGTGGTAGTGTGTAGAGTGCTTCAAGGGCTCGGTATAAGTGTAATTCTTACTGTACTTGGTGTGATTCCAACTTCTTGGTCCCCAAAGAGCGAATACAGTACCTATTTGGCAATTTTGTCGTGTGCTTGGCAGGTTTGTGAATTTATGTTTTATAAAGCGCATTTGCATTCTTGCAGTTTTCAAATGTGATTTTTATGCCAATTTCTGGGATTTTATGTGATTCCGAGTACGGTTGGAGGTCGATTTATTATGCATTTGGTGTGCTGACTGGATTCTTTTATTTCATTTTTTACATGTTTTATACAGATGCTCCTGGTGTACATAGGTACGGTATTGTGAAACAAAAAATCATTTTTTGATTCTTTAGGATTTTAAGAATTTTCAGGATTTCAAAAAAATGCTTCTAAATTTCTGAATTTTCCGACTTTGCACTATTTTCAAATTTCAAATTTTCATTGAATTGCTGGTTTTTTATGTTTCAATTTTTCTTTTAATTTCTCAATTCCTGAAATTTTGAAATCCTGAAATTCTGATATTCTGAGATTCTGAGATTCTGAGATTCTGAGATTCTGAAATTCTGAACTTCTGAACTTCTGAGATTCTGAGATTCTGAGATTCTGAGATTCTGAGATTCTGAGATTCTGAGATTCTGAGATTCTGAGATTCTGAGATTCTAAAAATAAGAATTTCTGAATTCTTAAATTTCAAAGTTTTCCAGAAACGTCTCCGAAAAAGAGCTTGGCCAAATTAAAGAAGGCAAACCGGACCATGCAATTCGTGAAACTGTACCATATAAACGTATCTGTACAGATCCATGCGTTTTGGCCGCATGGATCAGTTTCCTGGGTGGAAATTTGGGATTTATCACACTTCTATTATATGGACCAACTTATTTGAGAGAAGTTCTGAATTTCGATGTTCGATCCACTGGTTATATCAAGCTCTACCGTATGCTCTTTGTGCAATTTATAAATTTAGTGCTGGAAAAATTTCGGATCGAATCAAATTCGCTAGTGATAAGGTGAGAGTTGATTTTGTTTTTGGAAATTTGGAAATTCAAGAATCTGAAATTTTGAATTTCAGAAATTTAAAACTTCAGCTATTCAGAAACTCAAGTAACTTGAACAGTGTGTGTCTCTCGAAAGCATTCAAGAGATTCCTTAGGTCAATTTAACATGATGACCTAACTTTTGCAATGTGAGTTTTCTAGGCCATCACGTGCAAATGACATCGAAAACACACTTAAAACTAACTAATTTTTCACGAAAGTTCTGAGTTTTTGATCTTCCAAATTTCCAATTTTATGAATATCCAAATTCCCGAGTATTCCAGACCATCTACACATTCTGGCTCTTCTCCTCCATCATTGGCCTATCAATTGGTTACTGTATAATGGCATGGACTACTGATCGTAACATAGCATTCGTCGCATTCGCTTTTGCGATTGTCACTTCTGGATTAATTATAATGGCATCTGTGAAATGTTTAGCAATGCGATGCCAACAACATTGTCATTTTGCAGTTAGCACCGTTTCGTTTTTGTCGTATTGTGTACAATTCATTTCTCCATTGGGTGTTGGCATTATGTGTCCCGATAATACACCGGAACAGGTAACTTTTTTTGGGATTTTCGAATTTCTTGGAACTTTGAGTTTTCTAGAATTTCTGAATTTATGAATTATTGAACAATCGAATTTCTGAAATTGCATAAAGTTCTGAACTCCCGGAATTTTTGGGATATTTTGGAGTTTCCTGAATCTCCTGAATTTTCAAATTCATTTAAATTTCGAATTTTTGTTTATCGAAAATTTTCAAAAATCACGAGATTCCAAAATTTTCAAGAAAATTGAAAAAAATCACGAAATATCAAAAAACATGAAATTTCGAAATATCTGAAATCTCAAAACTTAAATTATCATACAACTCCAAAAGTATCGAAATTTTAAAATTACAAAAATACAAACTTTTCACAAATCACAAATGTTCTAAAACACCGAAAATTGAAAAATTGAAAATTTTCGAAAATTTCGAAAATTCAGATATTTAAAAATGATGAAACTTTGATAATCACAGAGTTACAAAATTCTGAAGTTATCTAAAATCTCAGAAATTCGAAATTTTCAAAGTTTCGAAATTCTAAGATTCTCAAAAATCACAAAGCTTTTAGAACCCCTGATTTACAGAATCAAAAAGTTACCAAAATCCCGGATTCTCGAAAATCGCTGAAATTCGGAAATCCCGAAAATTCGAAATTAAAAAAAAATTCTTGACTCCCAAAATAACCAAAGTTAAAAAATTATATTTCAGTGGTCCCGAGCCTTCCTGCTTATCACCGGTATCATGATTCTCACAAACGCCCCATTTCCATTTTTGACGACTCAAGAAGCTGCGGAATATACGAAACACAAAAAATCGCCGATGGGAGAACTTTCAGAAAAAGTCTGAAAATTCTAGATATTGATTTTTTTGTACTTATTTGACTTTTTTGTTTGTGAAAGCTGAGAAATTTATTCATAAAAAAATAATTATCTTTTTGAAAAAAATAAATACATTAAAAATAAAATATTGCAGTGGAAGGAGAAAGAGAGTACATGAAAAATGAAGAAAATAATTAAGGTTTTCAATTGACATGAGAAAAAGTGTACACGATTTCCTGACAGTAGTCTTGACCTGGACGGAGTGAGACGTCGGGGAAATTTTCCTGAAACAATTTATTTATCGATTAAAAGTTAAGAAATCCCATTTTTTGAAAATATGCGCAGTTCTGAAATTCGACAATATGGAAAATCAAAAAGTCGAGTTTTTAAAAGTTTAAAGTTTCGAGGAACCCTCTAATAGAAGAGCCCTCCGAGAGGGGCTTGGAAAAATAGAAGGGTCCCTGTAATAGAAGTGAAGAAGGGCCCCCTTCAAAATATGTTTTGAAATCAGAAAATTTTCGTACTTTTTCAGGGGAAAACATTCCGGGAACTCAACAATTTAATAGAAATTTGAAACTCTATTTTTCGATGAAAATCTTGCTAAATTTTGGTGAAATCGGCAGGTTTTGATGCATTTTGAACGAAACTTCGTCGAATTTTTCGATGTAAAATTTCGGGAAAAACCGGCCGAAAAAAATAAAAGGGCTCCCCTCAAATTGAAGGGCCTCCTTGGAACAATAGAAGGGCTGGCCCTTCTAATACAGGTTGTACGGTATCAAAGTTTTTTCTTGCAATTCAGAGAACTCACAAAATTAGGAGCAGCCGAGTGGAACTGTGGCTCAATTGCCAGCGCTTTATTTGCTCCGTAGTGCTCTCCATTCTTTCCAGAACAATCCAAAAATTTCGATGCATATAAATGAATAACCGGGTAGGAAGTGGTGATTGACAACTCGATTCCCGATTTCTGGCTCCAGAATCTCAAATTTGACGTCGGCGTGATGGGTGGATCTTTTCTAGCGATCACTAAATCATTATCCAAATCCAAAATCTCATTTTCTGATTCTCCAAACGCCTTCAATTGTTTTCTATTTCGAAAATCGAATCTGGTCCCTTTGACACATCGAATCGCTCCTGTTGGACAAAATGTGTCATCAACTTCCACGTATTCTTCAGAATCCATTTCTAAGAAATGCTCTTTGACGTCTTCTGATCCATCTAAATTCCAGTAGGCGTGATTTGTGAGGGCTAGAAGTCCCGGGATTTCACATGTCGCATGATGCTCGATGATTAGTTGATTACGGTCGTTTACTGTGTAGGTTACCTGGAAATAATGAGTTTCAGATTTTCAAAAAATTTGAAACATTAAACAGAATTTCAAAAGGTCAGAAATTCTAAAAATTAAAAGTTCAGAATCTCAGAATCTCAGAATCTCAGAATCTCAGAATCTCAGAATCTCAGAATCTCAGAATCTCAGAATCTCAGAATCTCAGAATCTCAGAATCTCAAAATCTCAGAATCTCAGAATCTCAGGATCTCACAATCTCAGAATCTCAGAATCTCAGAATCTCAGAATCTCAGAAGTTCAGAAGTTCAGAATTTCAGAATCTCAGAATCTCAGAATCTCAGAATCTCAGAATCTCAGAATCTCAGAATCTCAGAATCTCAGAATCTCAGAATCTCAGAAGTTCAGAAGTTCAGAATTTCAGAATCTCAGAATCTCAGAATCTCAGAATCTCAGAATCTCAGAATCTCAGAATCTCAGAATCTCAGAATCTCAGAGATGTTCCGAAATCTGAAAGTATCAAAAATCCAGAAATCGCAAAATTTCGAAAATATCAAACACCTCACAACCTGAAAATTTTAATTTTTTTTGAAACCCAAAATGCTCCGAATCTTTAAATTTTCGAAAAAATTAAAAAAAAGATTTTTCACTTATTTTTGACTCAAATTTTGACTCTCAGCTATTATAGTTAATTAGCTTATTAATTAGTTGATTAATTAATAAATTAAAATTTTCTCAAAAAATGCTCACATCAATTTTCGCATCTCCCGGCAGTCCATCCTCCTGTTCATTGGCTTTCACGCTGAACGAAACCGATTGTGGTGCGTGTCTACCAATTCCCATTTTCTCTGAAAATTTGGTTTTAAAAATCTGGAATTCCGAATACCCTGAAATGAAAATTTCTGGAATCAAATTTCAAAAATTCTGAAATCGATTCTTCAAAAAAGGTATACTGGATTTTGAAAAATAGACTTCAAGATTTGATTTTAAAATCCGAAAGTTTGAAAAATTAGAAAAAAGCTCACATATCCCAATCCATTGGGTCCTCCATGTAAATAATGTGGACCATTATTCGGTGTCATTTTGTATTCTTTTCCGTCAAATTTCAATTGGGAATTCTTGATTCTGTTGGCCACACGGCCAACTGTTTTTCCCAGTGATTGAGTGTCAGATTCGAATTCTGGACAATGTTGAAAATTGAAAATTTTGCTTTAGAATGATCTAATTTTTAGAATATTCGAATTCCGGAAATTCAACATTTCTGAATTTCAGATTTCTGTTTTTTGTTCTTATATTTCAAATCAAACCAAAATTTCTTTTAATCCAAATTTGCACAAAATAGAAACCAAAAACTTTCAAAAACTTACCATCAATAGTGTTAAATCCAAGGACCAAGTCCTGATTTTTTCCTTCTTTATCTGGAAATGTCAGTTTTGCCAATGTGGCACCAAACGGTAATAGTGTAGCTGATAATCCTTGTTTATTGGTGATTTCAATGAATCCGGAGGCCATTTTTGGGATGGTCTGAAAAAGGGAAATTGGGTTGTTTAAAAAATAAAAAATGAATGAAAAAATGAAGAAAAAAAATTAATTCAGAGTTTTCAGGATTTCTGTAAAATTCAAAACTTGCAACCTCAAAAATCAAAAATGTGTGTATTTTTTTCAATTTCAAAATTTCCTACACATGACCGAAAATATCTAAATTTCTAATCCGATCAGCATTTGTACAATTTCTTCCACGTGGAAATCACGTCCAAAATGTGTCAAAACTGATAAGCACTGATCACTGATAACGGTAAAGAGAGGTGTGATTTTATATATTTCTAGTGGGAGAAAATTGAAAAAAGAAAAGAAAAGAAAAAAGAGAAAATCAATGAGACAATAGGGGAATCAGATCGAAAAGAAGGAGAGAGTGAGAAGGTGAGAGACGCAGAGAAACAGAGGAGAATGTTTTTGTTTACACAATGAGCGGGATGAGGGACCATCGAACGCTGATTGATTGGTGTGTTTGACCTTGGGTGCTCTGGGAAACAAAATAAGGGTGGCCTAGAAAATTTGAGAAAAGTTAGGTCATGGAAAAAATATTTCAGAAATTCAAAAATTCAAAAATTCATAAACTTGGAACTTCAGAAATTCAAAATTTTGAAAACTCGAAAAATCCCAAAGTTTTAGAAATTCTGCAATTTCAGATTTTCGAAAAAAATTTCAATTCCAAAAACTGAAATTGCAAAAGAATTCTCAAAGTGTTTTTGAATTCTAGATCTGGGTTTTTTCTATTTTTTTTCTCCATTTTTCAGCAAAATGTGACCTTTTTTTTTCATTTAACTTCATTT